AATTGTGTGTAGGAAATAAAGGTTCGCCCTTGCACCATTGGCAGGGTAGTTGCACAACTAGTTGGTGGATGTGAAAACCTAATCCCTGTGCTGGCTCAAGTCAGCACCATCATATTACTAATATTAGATGAGTATATTGTTAATTACCGTCAGGTCATACCGGTACATGAAAATATCTGCTGGTACAGCTTTGTCTAGACTCTTTGCTTTGTGTTGTCTGCTACTGTTACATTGTTATAACTCATTTAGATAGCTTATTACAGTATAACGTGGATAAGTCGAACACAGAAGACTCGAAATCACGCATCCGCCGAACTGTGCGTGCAGTCCCATTTTTAAATCTTCTTTATCTTTGTAATATATCCCTTGAACTACTGATTCCCTGAACTACCGAAGTCGGTCCTGAGGAATTCGAGCTATCCGTGTTCTACTGTATTCTTATTGCATTGGGGCAGAAATGTAATGTGTTCAAGCAGGATAATAATGTTTAGGTTTAGTAGTCACATTTCTGCTGAGTTTGAATTTTTAAGGAAATTTCACGTGCATGTGATGTACAGTATAATATTATTATAAATATATATTATATTATGATGATAAACGATTATCTGATGTGTACTGAAAATAAAATCAAAGGATTGTAAAAAAAAAATCGTGTGCGAGTGCAGTTCTTCTTCTTCTTTTTTTTCTTCTTCTTTAAAAAAAACCCAACTAACCCTGATGGTTATATTTTTGTCAAATCTGCTTGTTTTTGCATTGGTTTTTTTCCCAAACTTAAGATGCAATTGCAATGTTGACAAATTGTGGTCTTGGTAACTAGCTTTAACAAAATTCATTACCCTCGGGGCGGTGTTGCCGGGCTGAAGTGTCTCTAGGCCATTCCCAAGGGGGGGGGGGGGGGGGGGGGAATTTACATCTCAGGTTCTTATGCACAGTAGAATTGTAATTGTAAATGGACTGATTCATCAATGTCATGTTCATAACAGCCTGACCTGCAACAGGGAACTGCTGCTTTTTCTTTCCAAATCCTTACTATCGTCATTTTTCTTGTACTTCTTTTCTATGTTTGTCACACTTTTGTGATCCGTTATTTCCGGGGGTGCTTTGATGGTCGAAGCTAACTGTGTGCTACATGTATTGAAGCTAGAAAGATGAGCAGAGTAAATGTAATGACTTCTCTGTTGACATCCACCCCTTGGCGCTCATATGACCTTATGCAGTTGCGAGCGCCGTAAAACCTCTACTAATACAAAACAAACAAAAAACAATAATTCATGAGGCAAACAAAAAAATAATTAATTTCAGTGGAAACCTGATATAACAGGGATGGTGGGAGTAGAGAAAAAGTCCTGTTATATCCAATCCCTGTTAAATCAGAAATGCAAGGAAAGTAAGCATTTGTGGACTACTCCAGCTGTACTTATTCATAGGAAGTGTCCCTTGCCACAAGTACCCACGAACAGGGGTTCTGGCCCTAACTTTCTTCTTGCCTGCTTAATACGGGGTGCCCACTACGGATGGGATCGGCTGATTGGGCCGATCGCCCGACTCGATCGCCTCAAAAACAAACGTGTTTGTTTTCAGTTTCAGGCGATCGAGTCGGGCGATCTGCCCGATCCAGCCGTAGTGGGCGCCCCGTATACACCACACCAAAAGAGATTGGTCCACAGTATCTGCATCGGGCAGTCTCATCTTCTTTCGATCCAGAGCAAACTTTCCATTGGAGTAGGCTGCCACTATCTTCTCTCTATCCTTGATAATGGTGTGAATCGACCCTTGTGGAATGTCGAACTAACGACAAATCTGCCAGTGGAGCTTGCTTTTTGTCAACAGCCTGGATTGTTTGGTATATTTTGTCAATTGAAAGGCACTTTCTCTTGCCCTTGACATCGTTGGTGGCCATAATGAAAGAAGCAGGCTTAGATCTAGGCCGACTGATCGTCCACTGAGTGCGTAAAGCTTAGATCTACACATGTACGGTACTGTAATGTTAGTGAACAGTCACGGCACGGTGTGGTGCATGCGTGTGTGCAGTGAACTTCGAAACAAACTATTCGCACGACCAGATTTGGCATGCGGCAGGCCTGCCCATGACACATTACGCGTGCGAGTTGCTAGGTTTCGGTTTCGGGCTAGATCTAGATCGAGGTCTGCTGCACACTTCAGCCCTCTCTCGCTTCACACGCTAGATCTACGTGTGCTTGCAGTGGCATGGCTTGCGTGGGCTTGCTGTTACATCACTGCGTTACTCTGTCTCTCTGTCTCGCCCTGTCTTACTTTTTACACATTGTTAACGAGCCTTTGTCCCTGCTATAACCAGTTGGGCTCCAATGAGGCCCTGTTATTGCCGATAACTTTTAATAGAGACAAAGAGTAGGAAAAAATGGCGATTTAAAAAATCCCTGTTATTACCGGATCCCTGTTATTACCGGACCTGTTATATATGGTTTCCACTGTAGTACGAAAAAGAGCACCTCAACTGTGTTTTTTAAAAATAGAGAAAGTCCTTCACACTGTATGAGAAAACAGAGGGCTGAACAAATGTTTGTTTGTTTTAGTACATAGAGGTTTTACGACTCTTGCAACTGCGCTGCATGTCATATTATGAGCGCCACGCCAAGGGGTGGATGTTAGCAGAGAAGTCCTTACAGGGAATCAGGATTACTATGCTCACTTCTCTAGCTTCAACTCAACAGCACAAAGTCGGCTGCGACGATCAAGGCACCATAAGAGTGTGACAAACACACATGCAAAAGAAGAAGAGAAAAATGATGGTAGTAAGGATTAGGAAAGAAAAAGTTTGCAGTTCAGGCACAGTTATGAGCATGACATTGATTTACAATTCTAATTCTACTGTTCATATGAACATGTTATGTCCCCCCTTTGAGAATAACCTAAAATCACTTCAGTCAGTAGCACAGCCCCGGAAGGGGGTGGGGGGTAGCGCTTAATAAAATGGCAAAATCCGGACAAATATCCCAATAATCGGCTAACCCTCAATAAAACATTATTCCAATTCAGACTCTTAACTTTCTTTCCTGACCCGTTTGCCGAAGTGTGTGCACCCGTTTGTCGAAGTGGTTCCAACCCATTTGCCGAAGCGGTTTATAACATATTATTTACCGAAAAGGTGCACTAATATATTATCCGAATTTAGCTAAAGCGACTCAGTGCCCAACACTACTCTGGGGCGAGCTCCATGACGTTGGCGGAGTAGCGGGGCTGTCCGACGTCTTGGGAAATGCTTCTGTTGTGTGACCTGTGTGGGTTTTTTTCCTTTTTATTTATTTACTTTGTGTGTGTGTGTGTGTGTGTGTGTGTGTGTGTGTGTGTGTGTGTGTGTATGTGTGTGTGTGTGTAGGAAATTTTGAATTTTGCCCGGGTTGCGGCTGAAGCCTACTTTTACCGATTTTAAAGCCTCCAAGGGATGTTTATGGTGCGCAACTTGCACATGGGACCTTCAAGATTTTTCGTTGTTGTCCGAGAAGGCCAGGTGTAGATCTTTCCTATCATAAGATCAGGGGTATGGCTGAAAGACAGCAGTAAAAAGGAGCCGAGGAGTAGCAGTAGAAAGGCTGCAGAAAGAGTCAAGAGCCCAAAGGAGGGGTAAAGGAGGTGAAGGGGTTGGGGCAGAAAGTGAAGACGGAAGCAAACGACAGAACATCGTTAAAGAGCATTGAAGGATGTGAGAGGAGAAAATGTTCCGTCGCTGTCCGGATTCGAAGCCGAGACCTTTTGAATGAGAGGCGAACACCTTGACCTCTAGACTATGAGAGCCCCAGGTCTGTGTTTAAAAGGTCCTTTACAGTTTTTTTTGTTTAAAAAAAAACCCCCGATATGTGTCAGTCCTCCGGTTTCCTGTCACTGTGGGGCTGTTGTGCGTCTACAGGTTATGATGTTCGCCTCTCATGCATTAGGTCCCGTGTTCGAATCCTGACAGCAACGGAAAATGTTCTTCATTTGAATGTTTTTTTCGTTTCACCTGCTTTCCTGCTCTCTAATCATGTCCAAAATCTGTAGTCTGCTTTCGCCTCTACTTTTTGCCCCCCCCCCCCCCACACACACAGGCCTCTGAGCTCCTGACTTTTTCTGCAGCCTTTCTACTACTACTTCTCCTTGGCTCCTTCTTACTCTTGTTTTTCAGCCACAATCCTGATCTTAGGGTAGGTAAGATCTAACGCCTAACCTTCTAGGATAAGGGAGAAACATCCCGAAGGTCCCGTGTGCAAGTTGCGCACCATAAAGATCCTTTGGTGGTCCTAAAGTGGATAAGAGTAGGCTTCGATCGCCACCTGGGTAAAATTCAAAATTTGTTCCTACCTAATTGAAACTGCCGAATGTGTCCCGGTGCTCATAATATGACTTTATGCTGTTGTGAGCGCCGTGAAACGCTAACAAAAATCAACAACAACAAAAAACAACAACTACCAGTACCAACAGAGCGACTGCTCATCTCACTAATGATGTGTGTATGGTCTGAGTTGTGGGCAGGGCAACTGGATTAATAGAACATAATAAGGGTTCACACACCTCCCTCACCAGCAGCTAAAAATTATACATGTACAATAATAACAATAATAATGATCATTTTTTGCATGATTCCTGATTATTGTCCTTTATCATTCCTTGTTAAAATTAACAGAATCGCGTAATTTCACATTTTTGGGGCTCAGTTTGCTTAATTTCAGAATTTGTTTTGTTGTTGTTGATTTTAACAAAGAATGATAAAGGAAAATAATCAGAAATCATACAAAAAATGATCAAATTTTGCTAAATTATGCGGGGTTCATAAAACCACGTGGTCAGTCTTTTGTCCTGCTCGGTTTTAAGCTTTTCATCTTCACTTTCTCTCCCCCCCCCCAAAAAAAAAAATTTAAAAAAAATTAAAAAATCCCCGCCTCCTCTAGGACTCCTCCCCTCCTTTACTCCGGCCTCTTTCTATACTACTTCTAGATCTACTAATCTAATTTCCTTCTACGCCTGGCTCCTTCTTAGTGCTGTCTTTCAGCCACACCCAGCGTGAGCTATCCTTCTCGGATAAAGACGAACAATTTTGGAGGTTTTGAAATCAGGTGTTCTTATGACAATGCCAGCTCAGTGAAGTTGAGTCCTTTAGAGCTTGGAAAACAGACCCACCACATTTGCCTTTCAGAGAACTTCGGTGTCATATATTTTATCCTGTCATTTGATCCCGAGAATAACCCTGAGGCATTTCTTTCAAATGGAAATACATGTACAAGTAAATAACATGCCATAGGTGGGCATATAATGCCATATGGCCCTAATACCCCTTTCTATTACGGAGTCTCTCCTTGAACAACCATCTTTGTTTCTGCAAGTGGAGAGCTACTTTCATTAAAAAAGAAGTCAAAAGAGGAAGCGAAAGTAGAATGATAAAAGCGATGAAAAATCAAAGATGATAGGATGAGCCTTGTGTATTCTATTCAGCAATGAAATGGTGTCAACGACATGAACAGTATGACCAAAAAGCGACTCCACGCTTTGAGTCGTCGAACTTAGAGAATAACGTTGGTCTTTGAAGTAAGTAGCAATATTTGAACAAGTTTGTTATTATATTATTATATTGTTAAAAAAAATAGAATAAAACGACGAAAACTAAAATATAGAAGCAGGTTTTTGTTGTCTGACCCGAGCCTGAGCCTGAGTGCAAGTCGTGTTTGGCAGCCTACTACTGAAGTCTAGATTCTAGATTCTAGACCTAGATTTAGATCTAGACTCCTTTACTCTTCTAATTAAAGTCTAGATTTACTTTCTGACCTGAGGACTCACTTCTCGTACAGTTACAGTTGACTTTATTTTAACCCTGTCCATGTAGATAGGGCGCAGGACCGCCGTAGGGCTTTTACGTCCTTGGGTCATTTTGTTCTCCCGGGGTTGTATTCTTCATTCACATTTTAGAATACTTCTAGATCTAGATCTAGTCTAGATCTAAAATTCTAGATATCTAGATCTAATATCTAAGTAGGAAGATCTCTGTGAAACTTTCAGTGTAAAAAAAAAAAATCATTTTGTTCAGACTGCTGATATGCAAAGCGTACGGATTGGAATTAACTAGATCTAGATTTTCTAGTAAATTTCTACGCTCTTTGGAAATTGCCTTACCGTTTGATAGCCATTCTGAAACTGCTTGCCTCCCTGGCAAAAATGAGATAGAATCTAACCACAGTGGGTCAATCAAAGTTCAATCCGGCAAAAAAAAAAAAAATTATAATAATTTTAAGGCTGAAAAATATTACTGGCTAACAGTATGAGTAACAGTGTTAAGGTTCACTTAGCCTACATGGCCACTTTTGTCTCTTCTGTTTCTTATGTGGCCTAAACAAACGGGAAGGCAACTTCCAAAGAGCCCCTAAATTTCCTCTTTGGAAAGTGGTGGCACGGAATTCCCCATATTATAATTATATGGTTACGATAGTGTACACAATCAATGTACGGATAGAGTTCTAATACAGGAAGAATGGGATTTCTAGATTAGTCCCCATTTTTTTTTACATCTGATCTATCTGCTCATGAATGTCGTGCATTCCACCCCCCCCCCCCCCAAATTCCAAGCTTCCATCTTTGAGTCTTTCCTAGTGGTTCCTCCTAGTCCTAGTACATGTTGCTTTTGCCTTGGAGTATCCATTAATAGGAGAGGGTGAAGCCGCAGCAGACGAAGGTCGGCCATGGTTGTGAAATCAGCTCAGTTGTAAACTTCGTGTCGACCAAATGGCAGTTTGCGCAGCGTTCGGGTCTGGGGGGCTCTCGTGGCCTAGAGGTTAAGATGTTAGCCTCTCTTTCAAAGGTCCTGGGTTCGAATCTGAGTAGTGATGGAAAAAATTTGTTCTCCAAAATTTTCCTTTCTCTGTCATCTGCTTTCGTCTCCACTTTCTGCCCCTCCTCACCTCCTCAGGGCTCCTGACTCTTTCTGTAGCCTTTGTACTGCTACTCCTTGGCTCCTTTTTACTGCTGTCTTTCAGCCACATTCCTGATCTTCTGGTAGGAAAGATCTAGATCTACCCCTAGCCTTCTCAGACAAGGGCGAAAAAATCTCGGAGTTCCTGTGTGCAAGTTGCGCACGTTAAAGGTCCCTGGTCTAAAATGGATACATGTTGTAAAAGAGTAGGCTTTGGCCGCCACCCTGGCAAAATTCAAAATTTCCCACCGACTGCAAATATTTAATGTGTCCTGCGCGCTCAAATGCAGTTGCGAGTGCCGTACGAAATATGTTTTTTAAAATATCAGTTTCTAGCAAAGGCACTGAACTTGATGACGAAGGGCCTTCTGTTTCAGCCATAAATGTATCTCACAGTAAAAACAGCATGAAAGAGATTGAAGGTAATTAAGTTTGCCATGATGATAACTGCACATATGTGCCTAGTCTGGCACACTTATTCTTTTGTTCAGAGAATACTGTTGCTTGCTGGTGTTGTAGTGTTAAGGTTGACAAAGCATTTGAAAATATGAAACCTGCATAGGTGCCTTAGTTGACTCCAGTGTATCAAATGTAACTTCCTTGTTGTTTTTGAAGTCTCATGGAGGTTTGACAGTGCCGTCAAAGAAAGTCATTGAAGTGTGTTTTGTGTTTGAAAAACATTTTCGATGCCATGTGTCATCTACCTGTGCAGGGGATGTGAAGTGTTACAAATTAGTGCAATCTGTTTTGAAATTCTTCTTACTTAAGCCTATAATTTCAAATTTTCTAGTAATTTTTTAAGACACTTAACAGTATTTTGAAAATTTTTGATAAAGTGCCTGGGTGTTTTAAAGGTGCCCCTCCCTCTTTGCATTTTTTTTTGGGGGGG